TTTTTTGTCCGAAAATGTAAAACGTAGTTCACTCAGTAATCCAATGGCGCCATCAATGATTTCAAAAATCGGCCGACCAAGTCATAAAGTTCACCCCATATAACAGACGAAACTTCTGTTCCTTCCAGGTCACGGCAAATGCGCATATTCTTTTCAGAAACACGATCGTACGATTTGACCTTCATTGAGTGGAAAATCGGTTGTTTTTCACAAATTTTTCCACCATGCCCGATCACCGAAAAGGGGAGGGACCCACGAAAATCTGCCGGTGCCATTGACCCCACTAACAGAGCAAAAATCGGCCGATTATTCTTAGGTCCGATTTTCGGGCGATAAATCTGTCATTTCGACCCAGGTATGGCCGGCATTAGAGTGCTCTAGTCGTGTCATCGCTTTAGCCCCCAACATAGAGTTTGTACACAGGGGCAGACTGACAACTCATGGGGCCCCTGGGCAATAGGGGATCATGGGGCCCCTGTGTCCTTGCCCAAACTCAAAGCCTATAAAAGGTACCAGGGGCTTCTCATGGGGCCCCCTACTGACCTGGGGCAGTGCCCAAGTGCTCGAATGGTCAGTCCGCCCCTGTTTGTACATCGCCACAGAACAAGTAGGTGCTATATACAGAAATCCTATTCGCTAAAACTTCCCCTTTAGGTTGTTGTTGTGTTTTTTTGGGGGTTTTTTTTTCTGTTTTTTCATACTTTGGTACGCTCTACTGTCAATGATATAGCCATTGTACATCGCCACAGAACATGGCGCTACATACAGTATGTAAAGAACAACCTCCTGGTGTTCATCGCAGACCATCTGTTTCCTCTTCAGAGTCCTCACATCTCGTCTTCTCGTGTTCCTCAGGGAAGTTTATTCCAAAACAACATTCCAAGTCCAAAAAGTCGTTTTTTTTTTTTTTTTTTGTTTTTTTTTTTTCTCCCAAGTAGCAGCCGGCGGTAGTGTAGGTCCAGCTCTAGGGCTATACTCAGCACCGCAGCATACAGAAACCGACCAACTGAAATTGAAGGGTCAAGGACAGGGGCGGACTGACAACTCATGGGGCCCCCGGGCAATAGGGGATCATGGGGCCCCTGTGTCCTCGCCTACACCCAAAAAAGCCTATGAAAAAGACAATGAAAGGTACCAGGGGCATCTCATGGGGCCCCCTACTGACCCCGGGCCCTCAGGCAGTGCCCGAGTACCCAAATGGTCAGTCCGCCCCTGGTCGAGGAGCAAAGTTGGTTGTTGGATGTGTGGTCAGGCCTCGTTCAGATATTGTGTTGTGGGAAAAAGTTTGTGATTTTTTTAAAAAAAAAAATGCAATTTTTAAACGCAGTTCCACATGCGGCCCATAGGGCCTCCTATTCACTTCAATGGGCTGCCCTGTGTGCGGTTTTGTAACCCAGAAGAAGCTCCTGCTGCCCTGTGGACGACAAGCGAAGCCCGACGTTTAAATGTGCGTTTTGCTGCACGATTCTGTCACAGGACACTCATGGCAGAATTGCACAGCGATTGGACTGCCGTTAAGGCCGTTTTGATCTGTGCAACTTCGCAGCGACTGAAGAGGTTGCTGCACGACTTTGATGCAGCTTGAGTGTCAGAGGGTGTAAAGTCGCATTGAGCCCAGGTTCACACTGACGCGGTGCAGAATTCGTAGCGGTTTCTGTGCAAATTCTGCACCAGAATCACACCCCGTTCATGCGAACCGCTGCGGGTGTGTATGTCACGTTTTAACAACACCCCAAAATCGGTTCGCAAAACGCTGTGCGATGTGCAGAATCGGATCGCATGGGTGTGAATACCCATGCGAGCTGATTCTGGTGCGGGGAAAAAAAAACAAAAAGGGGTCCCGAACTGTTTTGGTGCGATCTGAGCCATATAAAATGTATGGCTCAAAATGCACCGCACAGAAATCGCATATGATTCGCACAGGAGTGCGGTTCGATGCACCGCATCAGTGAACCCGGGCTAAAAGTCGCACTCCAAAGTTGCATTGAAAGTGTGGACAGTGCCTAATGCTGACCATAGACGGGTCGAAAATCGCCGTTTTTTTTTTTTTTTTTTTTTATCGGTCATGTTGGAAATTTCAAGGCCAATTTTGATGATCGGCCGATTTTCCTGGCAATGATGGGCAAATCGGGCATTTTTTATTTTTTATTTTTTTTTTTCTTCAAAAAAATTATTACTATACAGTATTTATAAAGCGGCAATAGTTCGCTCAGCGCTGTACATTACAAAGGGAGACAATACATGTGACAGAACAATACCAATACAATGTGATACACGAGGGGTTCGAGGGCCCTGCTCTTTCGAGCTTACAATCTAGGAGGGAAAAAATCGGCTGATGTTCGACCCGTCTATGGCCTGCATTTGGGTCAGACTTCTATGTAGGTTTATAGATGATGATCTGTAAATATTGTGCTATGTATTATTTGTGATTTTGTTTTTTTTTTTTTGTTACATTTTGTTTACAAATTTTGTTACGTTTTCTAATAGATTATTTCTGGGAAGTGGTGAGTGTTACATTGTAAGTGGTTTTGGTTTGTGGTTATCTGAGCCGTATTCCTCCTCCTCCTCCGATCTCCTGTCTCCAGCCTGCAGGCACGTCCTTGGATTATTACAACTGTGGAATGTCGCAATATCTCGCTGTTTGATCCTTTTAGTGGTTTTGTTTTCTTTGTATGGGAGATTTTGACACCTGGTGAGCTGGGAATACAAGATTTCTTCTAGTTTTTCTAGTTGTTGTTTTTTATGTTTATTTCAGGTACTTATATAGCGCCATCAATTTACACAGCACTTTACATATATATTGTACATTCACATCAGTCCCTAACCCTCAAGGGGCGTACAATCTAAGGTCCCTAACCCTCAAGGGGCGTACAATCTAAGGTCCCTAACCCTCAAGGGGCGTACAATCTAAGGTCCCTAACCCTCAAGGGGCGTCCAATCTAAGGTCCCTAACCCTCAAGGGGCATCCAATCTAAGGTCCCTAACCCTCAAGGGGCGTCCAATCTAAGGTCCCTAACCCTCAAGGGGGGGGGTACAATCTAAGGTCCCTAACCCTCAAGGGGGGTACAATCTAAGGTCCCTAACCCTCAAGGGGCGTCCAATCTAAGGTCCCTAACCCTCAAGGGGCGTCCAATCTAAGGTCCCTAACCCTCAAGGGGGGTACAATCTAAGGTCCCTAACCCTCAAGGGGCGTCCCATCTAAGGTCCCTAACTCACATTCATACATACAGATACTAGGGACAATTTAGACAGGATCCAATTAACCTACCAGCATGTCTTTGGAATGTGGAAGGAAACCGGAGTACCCGGAGGAAATAGGGTACGCCTAAAGGAGAGGAGAGTAGGTGATAATCTGATGGGTTGGGGCAGGGAGTTCCAGAGGATGGGTGACACCCTGGAGAAGTCCTGGAGGCGGGCATGGGAGGAGGAGACCAGGGAACTAGAGAGGAGTCAGTCCCTAACCCTCAAGGGGTGTACAATATAAGGTCCCTAAGTCACATTCATACATACACATACTAGGGACAATTTAGACAGGAGCCAATTCACCTACCAGCATGTCTTTGGAACAGGGGAGGACTGACCATTTGGAAACTCGGGCACTGCCCGAAGGCCCGGGGTCAGTAGGGGCCCAATGAGATGCCCCTGGTACCTTTTTCGAGTTTGGACAAGGAAACAGGGGCCCCATGATCCCCTATTGCCCTATGAGTTTTCAGTCCGCCCCTGCTTTGGAGTGTGGGAAGAAACCGAAGTTCCCGGAGGAAACCCACACAGGCACAGGGAGAACATGCAAACTCCAGGCAGGTGGTGCGTGATTGGGATTCGAATCAATGACCCGAGTACTGCCAGGCGGAAGTGCTAACCATTTAGACCAGTGGTTCTCAACCTTCCTAATGCCACGACCCTGTAATACAGTTTCTCCTGTTGTGGTGACCCCCGAACCATAAAATTATTTACCCAGTAATTATAATTCATGAAGTGTTGTTTTACCTCCAATACTGCTGCTGCACTGCTGCTTTCAGCACAGTAGCTGCTTTCAGCACAGTAGCTGCTTTCAGCACAGTAGCTGCTTTCAACACAGTAGCTGCTTTCAACACAGTAGCTGCTCTTTACACATTGGAAATATGTTTTCCAATGGTCTCAGGTGACCCCTATGAAGGGTTGTTCGACCTCCAAAGGGGTCGCGACCCACAGGTTGAGAACCACTGATTTAGACACTGTGCTGCCGCATGTCCACGTCTACTCAAGGCCAGTCATTGGTGCATGTTAAGCATGTCCTTTGGATTACTTAATGTGCATTGTGTTTGTTCAGCTGGCAAAACTCCCAACCATAAATAAATAAAAAGAATATCCTCATAAAAAAATAAAATCTAACTTTTGCTGCAATATTCACTTTCAAGTTAGATATTTCCCCTGCCGAACTTTTCACCATTAGGTGTCCTCATTCCAAAGGCCGGCATCATTCAACCCAGGTCATCCCGCACATGCCCCCAACCTAGACTGGACAGTGAAAGGAGAAGCAGCGCAGTGATGAGCTCATCTTTCACTTTGCTCTCTCCTCCTATCAGTATGGCTCTTGTCGGCACATGAACTGACTCGCTCATTGCACTACCTTTTCTCCCCGTCTGAGCTGTGCTGTACATGGACTGCAAGGGGCTTCTACCAGGTCACACTTTCAGGACCTTACACGGCATGCACTTAAAGTATAACCGAAGGTTAGCATGCTGGAAAATTTTATGAAGTTCGAGTTACAGTTCTATAAAATATTTTTTTCACATTTTTGGGACATTGGACTTTAATTTGGGACTTTTTTGTTGGACTTTATATATTATAATTTTTCACATTTTTATTATTTGTATTATTTGCGTTGTATCACTTCTATAACTGAAGCTTGGTTTTGGACAGAGCGAAGAGGGATTAGACCCCCTGTCTGGTTTTTATTGCTGTCTGTGTCCCTGTTGTGGAATTCCCCCTCTCTATTTGTCCTATTTACCATTTATCACTGAGAGGTAAAGAAAATCCTGAATTTTAGGGTTGTCACCAGAAGAGGAATAGAGGGGAAATATTTCAATAAAACTTTCACTAGTTCTGGGATTCCTTCACTTTTTGGAGGGATTTCCATTAACTTCCTGTTCTGGCTATGGGACAGGAAGTGAAGAAAAAATCTCCTGAATGGGACACAGATGGAAAAAAAAAAACTAACCCTCCCTTATGCAGGCCATACATGGGTCAAATTCCGAACGATTTCTCATCCGAAAATCGAAAACGTTCGCTCGGTAATCCAATGGGGCCATCGATGATTTAAAAAATCGGCCGACCGAGTCATAAAGTTCCCCCCATATAACAGGCGAAACTTCTGTTCCTTCCAGGTCACGGCTCAGGCGCATATTCTTTTCGGAAAAATGATTACGATTTGACCATCATTGAGTCGAAAGTCGGTCATTTTTCACGAAGTTTCCAACATGTCCGATCATCGAAAAGGGGAGGAACCACAAAAATCAGCCGGAGCCATTGACCCACTAACAGAAAATTGGCCGATTTATTCTTAGGTCCAATTTTCAGATGAAAAATTGGTCGACCTAACCCATGTATGGCGGCCTTACTCTATCAAAAATTGGGGGGGGGGGTTTGGCATTCTACTTTAAAGCTGAACTTTTTTTTTATAAAAGACACAAGTTAGTGCTGCTCTGCAGTCGTTAACCCCTTGCTGGCTGTGTAACACATATATGGGGTTGCAGGATAGGCGGGCTTTAATATATTCATCCATGGAGGTTGTGGGCCAAGAGTGCGCTCTAGATACAGCCGGTCCAATAAGTATTGGGTTCAGGTGTTCCAATCCCCTCCATATCATGTGATTCAGGTGTTCCAATCCCCTCCCAATCATGTGATTCAGGTGTTCCAATCCCCTCCATGGACACAGGTGTATACAATCAAGCCCCTAGGCATGCAGATGGCTTCTACAAACATTGGTGAAAGAATGGGTCGCTCTCAGGAGCTCAGTGACTCCAAGCGTGGTCCCGTGATAGGTGGCCACCTGGGCAATAAGTCCATCCGTGACATTTCCTGGCTACTAAATATTCCACGCTCAACTGTTAGTGGGATTATAACAAAGTGGAAAGCCACTGGGAACAACAGCCACTCAGCCACCAAGTGGTAGGCCACGTCACATGACAGGGCGGGGTCAGCGCATGCTGAAGTGCACAGTGCGCAGAAGTCGCCAACTGTCTGCAGAGTCAATAGCTAAAGACCTCCAAACTTGGTGTGGCCTTCAGATGAGCCCAACAACAGTGTGTAGAGAGCTTCATGGAATGGGTTTCCATGGCTGAGCAGCTGCATCCAAGCCTTCCATCACCAAGTGCAATGCAAAGCGTTCGGATGCCGTGGCGTAAAGCATGCCGCCACTGGACTCTAGAGCAGGTGAGACGTGTTCTCTGGAGGGACCAATCATGCTCCTCTGTCTGGAAATCCGATGGACGTGTTTGGGTTTGATGGCGGGCTAGGAGAACAGTACTTGCCTGACTGTATTGTGTAAAGTTTGGTGGAGGGGGGATCATGGTGTGGGGTTGTTTTTCAGGGGTTGGGCTTGGCCCCCTAGTTCCAGTGAAGGGAACTCTTAAGGTGCATACATTTTGGACAATTTCATGCTCCCAACTTTGTGGAAATAGTTTGGGGATGGCCCCTTCCTGTTCCAACATGACTGCCCACCAGTGCACAAAGCAAGGTCCATAAAGACATGGAGGAGCCAGTTTGGGGTGGAGGGACTTGACTGTCCTGCACAGAGTCCTGACCTCAACCCCATAGAACACCTTTTTTGATGAATAAGAGCTGAGACTGTGAGCCAGGCCTCCTCCCCCGACATCAGTGCCTGACCTGACAAATGTGCTTCTGGAAGAATGGTCCAACCTTCCCATAGACACCCTCCTAAACCTTGTGGACGGCCTTCCCAGAAGAGTTGAAGCTGTTATAGCTGCAAAGGGCGGAGCCAACTCAATATTGAACCCTACGGACTAAGACTGGGGGGCCATTAAAGGTCATGTGCGTGAAAGGGCGGGGCCAACTCAATATTGAACCCTACGGACTAAGACTGGGGGGCCATTAAAGGTCATGTGCGTGAAAAGGCCGGCTTTTTTTTTTTTTTTTGTTTTCTGGTTTTAAACAGGCCATGTAACTACCAGAATGGGACCTGGTATCGGCCTCTTTCAGTTCCTGTGCAGCAGGGCTGGAGAGTGAGAGAAAGAAGCAACACATAGAGAAAATCAGTTCATGTGCTGACAAGAAGCATAAGAGATGAGCTCATCACTGTAATGCTTCCAATGTCCAGTCACCAGGCTGGCGGCTTGTCCAGGACAACCTGGGCTCAGAGGAAGGGGGATGAAGGATGCTGACCAGTTAGAATGAGGACACTTATGCAGGCCATAGACAGGTCGTTTATCGGCCGATTTTTTTTCATCCACACGTTAGTGGGGCCCGCCCGTCGGCAGCCCGTGGATCGTCTCATTCACTTTTATCGGTCATGCTGGAAAATCCCCGTGCCGTTTTTTGCGGACAATGGGCGGCAATGACGACCGATTTTTCGTTTATGGACAGGCTGATAAACGGCTCGTCTATGACTGCATAAGTGGGGGAAAAAAAGGACTGTGGGGAAAATTTGGAATGAAGGTGAATATTGCAGTGAAAGTTGTGGGTGTTTTTTTTTTTTTTTTTTTTTGTTTTTATCTTTTAAGGAAAATTGTAATTTTTTTTTTTTTTTTTTTTTTTTCATCTTGTGAGGGCGGATCCAGAGGAGGAAGCAGGGAGCCAATCAATTCATGTGCTGACAGGACGAGAGAGCAGAGTGACAGATGAGCTCATCGCTGCACTGCTTCTCTTTTCACTATCCAGTCTCAGGCTGGTTTTTTGAGGATCCTGGAAGACCTGGTTTTTCTTTTAAGAAGTGGGTTGGATGATGCATTTTTTGCAGGGGAAATCTAATTGCAGATTAAATTTTGAGATGGAGTTGTAGCAAAAATGTGTGGTGTTGTGGTTTTGATGTGCAGTTTTTTTTTTTTTTTTTTTTTTTTTTTTTTTTTGTGGTTTTTTTTGTTTTTATTGCCTATCGCTACATCTTCAATGTGGGAAATTTCTGTGAACAGAACTTTCTATGGATTCCTCCCTCCCCAGCAGATGATACGCCCCGGGGCGCTCTGCTCTGGTTTTGTTTAGGAGTTGTAAAAAAAAAAAAAGATAGGAAAAAAAACCAGCTCAACGCCCTGTCGCTGCAATCGCTGGCCTGCGGACAATAAAGTTTGCACAGCGAGGGCGTCTCCATAGTCCTGGGGGATCTACACTGTAATCTGAAATCCGGGTGTGAGCTCCTGACTCACCTTCTGTACAGCAGGAATAAGAGAGGCTTTATTTGTACAGAGAACTGGGAATGATGGGACATTAGACCATCAGATCTGCCTGTGTGAGAAGCCACAGATGGAAGCTGTCGTGCTCAGTATATGTCCAGAGCAGTGAAACCAAACCTGTCCCAAGTGCCTATGCAGTCTTTTGGAAACGGTATGTAGCTTGTGAGTGTAAAGGAATGGGGTTCAGCTTTCATCTGAGGCTTCTCACACAGGTGTGTTGTGTGGGGTTTTTTTTTTTTTTTTTTTTTTGGAAAGCTGCTTGTATATATTGGTGAACTGTCTTGATGTCTGGAGGTTCGGCTTTACCTGTGAACAGGAATTCTGCGGTCACATGAGCGCCCCTATTGAGAGGTTGCAGCAGAGAGGGTGCCGATGGTTCCAGCTCTGGTTCATCTGCAGTGACAGAAGAGATTGGAAGATGTTTCAGATCTAAACCATAAAGTATAACATTTGAAGGTGGACCACACACCAGGACCGGTCTGGGGGTGCGGTAGAAAAAAAGAAAAGTCGGGGGGCATAATGTCAATGATGTGATAGAGATTCGGGTAGCAAGTGTTCCCTGTTCACTCGCACGCTTCTGTAACACAAGTCATGGTGACAGGTAGTGCAGAGTGGTGCAGGAGTACACGGGGAACGATTGTATGTACTGAGCTGATGAATACACAATGTGTCCCCCTCTTATGTCAGGTGTCCCTATAGAGTCCCCCCCCTTACATCGCGAGTCCTTATCAGACTCAGTCTTACATCAGGGTCCCTTTAAAAGTCCCCTTTTACATCAGATGTCCCCATCAGAGCTTCCCCCCCTTACATCAAGTGTCCCCATCAGAGCTTCCCCCCCCTTACATCAAGTGTCCCCATCCGAGCTTCCCCTCCTTACATCAAGTGTCCCCATCAGAGCTTCCCCCCCCCTTACATCAAGTGTCCCCATCAGAGCTTCCCCCCCCTTACATCAAGTGTCCCCATCAGAGCTTCCCCCCCCCCCCCTTACATCAAGTGTCCCCATCAGAGCTCCCCCCCCACCCCCCCCCCCTTACATCAAGTGTCCCCATCAGAGCTTCCCCCCCCCCCCCCCCCCCCCTTACATCAAGTGTCCCCCCCATCAGAGCTCCCCATCCCCCCCCCCCTTACATCAAGTGTCCCCATCAGAGCTTCCCCCCCTTACATCAAGTGTCCCCATCAGAGCTTCCCCCCCCCTTACATCAAGTGTCCCCATCCGAGCTTCCCCCCCCCTTACATCAAGTGTCCCCATCAGAGCTTCCCCCCCCTTACATCAGATGTCCCCATCAGAGCTTCCCCCCCCTTACATCAGATGTCCCCATCAGAGCTTCCCCCCCCTTACATCAATGTCCCCATCGAGCTTTCCCCCCCCCCCCTTACATCAAGTGTCCCCCATCAGAGCTTCCCCTCCTTACATCAAGTGTCCCCATCAGAGCTTCCCCCCCCTTACATCAAGTGTCCCCATCAGAGCTTCCCCCCCCCTTACATCAAGTGTCCCCATCAGAGCTTCCCCCTCTTACATCAAGTGTCCCCATCAGAGCTTCCCCTCCTTACATCAAGTGTCCCCCATCAGAGCTTCCCCCCCCTTACATCAGATGTCCCCATCAGAGCTTCCCCCCCCCTTACATCAGATGTCCCCATCAGAGCTTCCCCCCCTTACATCAAGTGTCCCCATCAGAGCCCCCCCCCCCCCCCTTACATCAAGTGTCCCCATCAGAGCTCCCCACCCCCCCCCCCCCCCCTTACATCAAGTGTCCCCATCCGAGCTCCCGATGCCCCCCCCCCCCCCCCT